GATCAGCTGGCCCAGTGGACAGAAGGTGATGCTACCAAGCCGAAGGTGGTTGACTTTTAATCTGCAGCCCTTGGGCCTGTCTTTCATTGTTTTTATTCAGACATTCCTCTAGGTTGTATAGCCCTGGTGTACAAGTTGCCATACAGCGGTAACTTGTGGTTGCTGTGAGGCTGAACACTGTGACACTGATGTGTCAAATGCCTTAATGGCTGGTTACCCAATGTGGACAGAGAGTGGGGTGGAGCTCCCTGATTAAAACAAGCGTGGAAGGAGGAGTGGCATCCACTTCATAATAGCTTGCCTCTGGAAACCCTATGAACCTGGAGAGAGGATGGAAGACACCCAGCGTTGAGGACTCTCCTTCATAGGGTCGCTATGAGTCGCCTGCGACTCAACGGCACTTAACAACAACAACAGATTGTCCATCTTATTTATTTTATATTAATTATTAAATCTCTTCTATGAGATCTCCTTGAAGAAGGACATCATGCTTAGAACAGTGGAAGGACAGTGCAGGAGAGGAAGACCTTGGATAAGATGGATTAACACAGTAACTGAGATAACTGGTAACGTAACGAGTAACTGGTATGTGTGAGACAGTGAGACTGGCTCAGGATAGGACAGAGTTCAGAGCTATTGTGGATCGGGTCACTATGAGTCGCAAGCAACTCAATGACACATAACAAGAATGTCTGCTAGGGAAGCTTTCTTGTGGTCTGTAGGGAGTTGCACTGCTAACCCTCAGACTATGTTTCTCTTGCTGGCAGTTCACTTCTGCCTCCTCTAACACCTAGAAGAAGAAAAAATCAACAAACATAATGCAAATCATACCATCTTATCTGCTTAAATGCATTCAATGATTCAACATTCTCCAAATCTTCTCTAACAAACTCAGTGAAGAAGAGTAAGCTTTGTAGCCATCTTCCATCTTGGAAAATCAGATAAAAATTACTTTTTAAGATGCTTTACTATATATTGTGAATGGAATCCCTATTTTGTGTTTTTGCAATGTTTTTGTTATAACCCTTTGTTTATTTCTTTGATGTTGAGTGGTCTTTTGAAAGCACCACCTTTTTCAAGTGTGAATTATGATATGGATTCATTTTACATGTATTGTTGTTGTTGTTATGTGTTGTGAAGTCAGAACTGACCCATAGCTGACCCTCCAGCAGATTTATCAGAGTCTGTAAATTGTACAGGGGGCAATTGTCCATCTTTCTCCTTCAGAGATCCTTCAAATCCTGCTGGTGGATTTGAATTGCACGGATTTGAGTTGGCAGCGGGACTCTTTACCCACTAGGCTACCAGAGCTCCCTGACTTATATATATATTCTACATCTTCATTTTCTGGCTTCTTCATTAGACTTTTTTTTTATATATATAACCTGTCAAGGATGTCAGCTTAAAGACTAAGATCCAGGCCATATTTCCAGTCATTTCATATGCATATGAAAGTTAGTCAATGACTAAGGAAAGCCAAAGAAGAGTTGATGCCTTTTAATTGTCGTGCTAGAGAAGAGTATTGACTATACCAAAGAAAGGAACAAACAAATCAGTCTTGGAGGAAGTACAATTAGAGTGCTCCTCAGAGACAAGGGGGGGAAATGCCATCTTACGTACTTGGGGCATGTTGTGAGGAGACGCCGGCCCTTGGAAAAAAGAACTTAATGCTGAAAAAAGTAGGTCAGAGAAAACGAGGAAGACCCACAACAACGTGGAATGACACAGTGACTGTAAGATGGGCTTGCGTATAGTAGACATCATAAGGATGGTACAGGACAGGCCAAGATTTTGATCACAGGTTTACTATGAGTCTTGGTTGACTCAACAGCACCTAACATTAGATGTATTTTTTTATGTTCTGTATAGAAAAGATGGTACCAGTTTCATGCGTTGTTGTATTTCCTATAAGGGATCACCCATCTTGTAAATTAATATTTGGTTTAATGAACATTTGTTTGTTTTTTGGTTTTTTGGGGTTTTTTTAAATGTTAATTCATGTCTTTTATTAACTCATAATTACTTGTCCTCTGGTTTGTTGAAGCAATAGGCCAGACAGCACTTGACACAGTAGTGCCTGTTAAAGTGACTGACCATAAAAAACTCCAGCACCGCATTCATCTGAAGGACACTCCCGACAAAGGTGACTGATTTTTGCATTCTCGTCCACCTTCTACTATCTCAGAACATCCAGCTTAACCTTCTCTCGCTTGTGCTTATTCTTCCTAGGAGTGGTATTAGACTTCTTCCTTTTCTTAGCACCACCACGAAGTCTCAATACAAGGTGAAGAGTGGACTCCTTTTGGATGTTGTAGTCAGACAAGGTCCGCCCATCTTCCAGTTGTTTCCAGCAAAGATCTTTGCTGATCAGGAAGAATTCCTTCCTTATCCTGGATCTGGGCCTTGACATTCTCAACTGTGTCTGAGGGTTCAACCTCGAGCGTGATGGTCTTCTCTGTGAGGGTTTTTACAAAAATCTGCATCTTGGCGGTGGTCCTACCTGCAAACGGGGGAAATGAGGAGGCGGATTTAGTCCATATGCCACGTAAGACAGGAAACGAGGAAGTCGCGGGTCCAAGAGCGGCCCAAGAGACACACTCTTAATGAACATTTGTTGAAGGAAAGAAGAAATTAGACCTTTTCTCCCAAACCTTACAATCAATCTACATTGCTCAAATAATCCTAACATATTTATCATTCTGTAAAATGATGGTAATAATGGTCCTAACATTAGAACCTGTCTGCCATCAGAGGGAAAAATAGAGATTCGTTCAGCCCAAAGCTGATTCCTGCGAGGTAGAGGTCAGAATTTTTACCATTTCTCCACTTGCCAACCTTTTTACCAGTTCAGACACCAGCTTCCCCTCTCATGGCGCTCTTGACTTCTTTTCTTGTTATATTGAATTGGCCACACAGAACTCACTCTGTTTACACTTGTTGTTGTTGTTGTTGTTGTTATGTGCCATTGAGTCAGGACCAACATATCTGATATGTTGATATCTGATCCTCATGATTTTCAGAGACTGCAAAACACATGAGAGGAGATTACCCATTTTCTCCTTCGGAGCAGCTGGTGGATTTGAACTGCCTGCCTTTGGGGTTGGCAGCACAATTCCTTACCCACTAGACTGCCAGAGTTCACTTATTTACATATATTTAAGTAGTTTATTAAGAAAGCAACAGGGTATGTTCACATGGTGGACTACTACACAGCACACAGGAGCAATGATTTTGTAAATCACTACCTAACTTGGGAAGGACTGGAGAGCATTATGCTAAGTGAGCTAACTCAGTCCCACAAGGATAGATACTGTATACATTATTGTAGAACGTTTATGAGAATCCAAGGGGGGAACGGTGAGATCAGTGGGGTGAGTATGAGCCGGGAAGTGATCATAGGGTCCCACAATTTGATGGTTGGAGGGAGGGATGGGTTAAGGAAATGGGAAAGATCCAGTGTTAAAAACAGTGTGTATGAACTTTGTAAGTAAACCAGTATAAAATGATTTAAAAAAAAAAAAATAAAGCAACAGAGTACAACTCGGGACCAAGATCCAGAAGCATGTAAACAAAGTCTCCCTTGGGTGCAGAACATCTCACTCAGCTCCTCTTGACTGTTTGCACAAGCAAACCCCTCTCTGCTGTGTGTGTCCCTTCTTAACTGTGTGGGCCTCCTCTCACAGGCTCCTCCTGCCCCTGCTAACTGTCACCACCAATCTTCCAGAGTTCCCCTCAAGGTTTTCACTTCTGTTGCTTTCTCCAGTGATACAGTCCTTGGCGTGAGCTACAGCTCTTTGCTTGCTTGCTTTCTACTTCTGTCTGCTTCCTATCGTAAAAACCTCTGTGAGGTTGGCTCCTCATCTATATAAACTTCTCACTAATTTCAAGGTATGAACAGACTAATCTCCTCTTGATAGACTGCAGACACTTTATTTGCATAGTAAGCTGTAGTAGCTTCATTTGCATCATCTAGAGGCACTTCATTTGCACAGTATATTGACCAATCTTGGTGAGATACATCACAATCACACACAGGGCAGAGTGGAGCGCAGGGCCAGATAAAAACCTCAAACCATCCTTGTTTATAGCTTGCCCAGGAAATGTCAATCAACCTGGACAAAAGTAACAAAATTTCTGGGGTAGAAAACTAAGACAAAGTTAATTCCTCAGGGTTCAGGAAGAAAATACCTGAAGCAGTTTTTCCAAAGAACCTAAGCAAAAGTCCCTCATAAAAGAACTCATTTCGCTCTTTCTCTTACGGTCGCTGGTGCTCTGGGAGCTGCGGTGACGGTGCAGACATGGCCAAGTCCAAGAACCACACCACATACAACCAGTCCCAATAATGGCACAGAAATGGTATCAAGAAACCAAGATGATATGAGTCTCTCTTTTTTTTTCCCCCCCAGTTTCCAAAGGCTTTATTGGTAGATGTGCTTTAGAAAAGGATCCTCAGCCCTCCCATTTCCAAGCTTGGAATGAAGACCTGTGTACAGGAGCACATGGAGCAGTCTCAAACCAGGAGGACGCTTCTGTCGTCCACCTCTTATTCATAGATCCAGTCATGGGCACAAGGCTTGTAGTCAACCAATTCTTCTGGCTTAAACTACAGACTGATTTCTTTCTCGGCACTTTTTACTGAATCACTGCCGTGGATGATGTTCCTGCCAACTTGAATACAGAAGTCCCCACGAATAGTGCCTGGTTTAGAATCTGCTGGGTTGGTCTCTCCAAGCATCACTCACCCGGTCTTCACCACATTCAGCCCCTCCCAGACCATGGCCACAATTGATCCCGAGTTCATGTACTTCACCAGCCCCAGGAAGAATGGGCGGTCTTTCAGGTCAATGTAGTGCTGCTTCAGATGCTCCTTGGAGGCCTGAAGGAGCTTCATGGCCACAAGGCGGAATCCTTTCTGCTCAAAGCGCTTGATGATCTCGCCCACCAGGCCGCGCTGCTCACTGTCCAGCTTGATGGCGATGAAGGTGCGCTCACTGTTGGCCATGGTGCTGGACGCTGGAGGAGGAGCAGGCAGTAGTGCGCGCTGTGAGCAGGAGAAGAGTGTTAAGGGGGTAGACCCCAAATTCCTGAGGAACATGCGCTTTGCCAAGAAGCACAATAACAAGGTCCTGAAGAAGATGCAAACCAACAATGCCAAAGCCGTGGATGAACGCGCCGAGGCTGGGAAGGCTCTTGTCAAGCCCAAAGAGGTCAAGTCCAGGATCCCAAGGGGTGTCAACTGCAAGCTCAGCCGATTGGCCTACATCACCCAACCCAGGCTTGGGAAGCGTGCTCAGGCCTGCATTGCCAAGGGGCTCAGGGTTCACTGGCCAAAATCCAAAGCCAAGGCTGACAGGCCGAAGCTTCAGCAAAGTCCTCAACTCAGGCGCCAGCCAAAGCTGCAGCCCAGGCGCCAGCCAAGGCCTCAACCCAGGCTCCTGTCCAAACCAGGCCCCTAAATGTGCCCAGGCCCCTGCAAAGGCTCCATAATTGAGTTCTTTATCTGAGGACAGAAGAACTGGTGTAACCCCCTGGGCTGCTGCCATCTGCATGGGGCTGGTGTCCTCCTGTGCTATTTATACAAATAAATCTTAAGGCAGGGAAGAAAAAAAAACCCAGCTCATTTCACCTCTCATCCTCTATTGGGCTTTAAAAGGGGTCCCCGAGTGGCCGAAACCATTATGTGTTCAACTACTAGCCAAAAGTTAATAGTTCAAGCCCACTTAAAGATGAAAATGACTACACTCAAAACCATACATAGGCTTAACTTATATTTCTAGTTCATATTGTTGTTGTTTTGTGATATTGAGTCAACTGTGACTTACAGCAACCCTCTGAACAGCAGATCTGAACTTGACCCTATCCTCTGTGATCCTCGTCATCTCTGATCCACTTAAATCCATTGTTATGGTCCCCATAGGAATCATCTTATTGAGAGTATTCCTCTACCACACTGACCCTCCACCTTCCCAAGCATGATGTCCATCTTCAAGGACTGGGTCTCCTAACAACAGGCCCAGAGTATGTGAAATGAAGCTTCACCATCCTTGCTTCCAAGAAGCAGCCTGGTCACACTTTCTCCAAGACATATTTCTTTGTCCTTTTGGCATTCCATGGGGTATTCAGTACTCTTCTCCAGTACCACAACTCAAAGGCAGCAATTACTCTTCTGTTATCTTAGTCATTGTCCAGCTTTCAGATACATAACAAGTAATGGAAAAGATAATGGCTTGGTTCAGGTACACCTTGGTTTTTAAACTGATGTCCTTGCTCTTCGGTACTATGGAGAGGTCCATGACAGCAGGTTTTCCCAGTGAGATACATCTTTAGATTTCATAACTACTAAGTGTTAATTGTGGAGCCAAGTAAGATGAAATAATTGGCAACTTCAGTCTTTTCTCCATCTATCGTTGGTCCAATGGTAAGGATTTGGCTTTTCTTGATATTGAGATGTAGTTTTTTTTCTTCTGCAGCAAGCCCTTCAAGTCCTCCTCACTTTCAGCAAGGAAGGTTGCGTCATCAGTATAATGCAGATTCTTAGAGTCTTCCTCCAATCCTGATGCCACATTCTTCTTCAGAGAAGAGGAAGAAAGGCAAAAAATATATTGGAAAAAAATTAGTCCAAAGGCTTAATTAACCACAAGAACTTCAATTTCCATGAGCACACTAACTGGAATCACATAGCAGAAGGAAGCAGGGGAAGGTGTAATTACTATGAATATTGAAATGAATATTATTAAACAAAAGGGTTGAATGAAAAACTCATTTACTCTGTAAACCATCACTCAAATCTCAATTAAAAACATGAAGGCGGTCAGAGCCCGAAAATGTGAAACAAAACTCAAAAACATAAATGGGTCAGGCTTCTTGGTATCCTGATGGAACAAGCAGGGCTCTGGTTCTTAATCACCTTCATGTGAAGCAGAATCCACCTCTATGATTCTCTTTCAGCCAAACAATGCACAGGCCTATGAAGTGAACAATAACACCAAGCCAGGACTCATTCCAAAGAATAACCAACAAGATAAGGTCATAAGAGCAGCATTTCCCAGGGTTAAAGCTCAGAAGGTGAGAAAGGAAGAATTTATAAAATTCATAAAACAATTTATGAAAACCAAAATCACAGGAAGAAAGTAGCAAAAGTGTAGGTGCATTGTGGGTATTGTAATTACTGCTGTGACACAAAACACATCTGAGTGATTGATCAGTAACCCAATTTGCTTTGTAAACTTTTACTCAAATTTCAATAAGAAGAAAAGGGAAAAATAAGTAGGCTTTGGATTTTCGGATCTGGTGAGTGCCATCTGCTGGAATGGAAAAAAAACCAACAAAAACTCTCTAGATTTGTGAAAATAATTCAACAAGAAACTTTAAACATTGATCAGCTCTAAATTCTGGCTAATCCAACTCAAAACCACAAAGATTGTTTACTATTTCTCTTCATCTCACATACACTCCCTGTTTTTCGGGCGATACAGTGCAACAACAGGGTGTTGCTGCTTTAACAGAAATCTCACAAGTGGATAGTTTTAACAAATTTATTTTCTCAAAGTCTGGGGAGCTCTGGTGGCCTGGTGGGTAAGGAGTTGTGCTACCAACCCAAAAACAAGTGTTTCCATCAGCCCTGCAGGAAGGTCCTGGGAGATCTTCATGTGGCTTGACATGTATCTCTGCTTCCAAGCTTGCCTGTTTAATCTCTTTTCTATCTCAGAACAGACTGGTTTAAGATACAGTGTATACACTAATCCTACCTCATTAATATAACAAAGACAACTCATTTTCTTTATTATTATTATTATTAATATTAATAATTTTAATGAAAATTTACAGAAATTTTGGATTTCCATTCATTCATTGTTGCACTTTTCTCCCTGCCCACCCCTCCCCTCCAGTTCGTTCTTCTCTTTGAAAAGCAAAAGAAAATTTATTTCATTGTTATACAGTCCCTCCCCACCAAGTCTACTCTACTGTTCAGCCTTCATTCTGGACTCATGTCATGACAATAATACCTAATCATATATCCCTTTTAAACGGTTCTCTCTCTCATCTGTTTCAATGCAATGACAACCCATTTTCAAATGGGATTCTAACCACAGGTTTAGAGGTTAGAAGTTACAATACATACGTTGGAGACATGAGCCCCAATTCATAGTCCTTATACAACTGATTTGTCATTCCAAAGACATCGAAAATAACTGGAAAAACTCCCCACCAAGGAGTCATGTGAAAACAAACACAGGAGAGTAAAGTAAGAAGAAAGAAAAAGCAGAAGGATAGATCTGATGGTGTAAGACAGAAGTTCACTTTTCTGAAAACAATTTCCTAAATCAGCTGACCTAAGACAAGGGTGTCAGATATCTTGATATTTCCTTGAGATAGGAAAGGTGCATGGCTTAAAGCACAGCGGGGCAACCTCCAGAGCTGACCAAAGTGTGGGTTCCCGGACTCGAGGAATGCGAGGGCCACCACTTCTCCCAGGTATGAGCAACCATCCTAGTGGCTGTACTCACCCAGCCACCACGCTGGAGCTCTGTGCTTCCAAGAGTCACTGTCTCTCTCATCTCCTCATTCCTCAGGCTCTGCTTTGAGTCCTCATTACCTTTGCACGTTGGTTCATGTTTTCCTGCCTCACATCCTGCGTTTCAGAGATACACTCAGATATCCTGGCATTTTTTTTTTCTGATAACAGTCAATCCACTGGGTGGTTCATCTTCCTCTTTTTTGTAATTGGTGGTGGTGGTATGGTTCTAATGGCCGTACCCTCCTCCTTGATGACGTTTGTGATCTCACATTGCCTACATGTCTTCCCTGTGTTTGCTATTTCTTTACTCTTCCTTTTACCTTTTTTTGCACCAAAAGAATGAATAGTGATAATATTTCGTGTCACTCATGTACATCTTACATGCTGTAGCAGTTGCTGTCAGGTTGAACTTGACTGACGGGGGCCCATGTGTGTCAGAGTCTAACTGTTGTGTCTCCATAGAGTTATAAGTGGCTAAATTTTTGGAAGGAGCACACTAATCCTTTCTTTTGAGATGCTTCTGAGTAAATGAACAATGAACCTTTCTGTTAACAACCAAGCATGTTAATTAACCAAGGGAGCTCTGGTGGCCTAGACTATAAGAGAACTCGGGTGACATAGATTGTAGTGGCTTTTGCTGCTAACTCCCAAAGTCTCTGCTCATTCAAATCTACCAACAGCTCTAAAGGGGGAAAGGTGGGAATTCTCCTCCCTTTACTATTGTTAGCCTTGAAAACCCAATGGAAGGGCAATGAATCGGAACCAATTAAATGGCCCTGGAGTGTGAGAAGGTTCCATTAACAATCGTTCTTAATATTCCCCATTGATTAGCCCCATCAAAAGGAAGCTATCGCTATCCTGAACTTACATATAAGGAAATTAGAGCACAGAGACACTACACATCGAGCAATAGTAATAAAGACCCATTGTTCATGGGGTCATTAGGAATCATAGCCAACTGACAGCACATAACAACAACAATAATAGTGTTAATGACACCTAACAGCAAATGACGGGACCAGTCCTTGGAGAAGGGCAGGATGCTCAGAAGGGTGGAGGGACAGTGCAAGAGAAGATGACCCTGGATAAGATGGATTGATACAGTAACTGGGCCAACAGGTATGGCTCGATAGGTGTGTCAGAGTCAGTGAGATTGGCTCAGCACAGGGCAGGCTACAGAGCTGTTGTACATAGGGTCACTATGAGTCACAGGTGACTGACTCAACAGCACGTAACAACAGCAAATGAATAGGTAGACAAACTATGGTACATTCGTTATGTGGCATTGAGAAACAGTGAACTCATGAAGCATTACACAACATGGGAGAGACTGGAGAACATTGTGTTGAGTGAAATATCTCAGACACAAAAAGGACGGATACTGTATAACATGGCAAAATAGGACAGACAAGACAAAGATTGGGAAAAGAGTACATAAATAACGAACTCCATGGTAGAACAGATGAGAAGAACTGTCTGAAAGGAGTATATGATTAGACATTCATATAACAACAATCTGGAACAAGGGGTGCATTACCTGGTGGGCTGGGGGAGGGAGAGGAGAAGGAGGGAAGAAAATGT